GTCATAACAGTTTAGCACTATTCCTGGTAGATAATTATATGATGCTAATGTCTTTTAATGGATTGTTGGGAAATAACTAGCAAATCACAACAAACAGAAGATACATATGAGCTCTGCTTTTCCTGAACTTTTGTCTCTGGCAAACTTACGTTTACATTGGCATTAGCAGACATGCACTTACCATTATAATGCTGTACCACATTCAGACGTTATTGGTATCAAACAAATTTCCATACAATTTATGGAACTAAATCGGCTCTGACAAGAAGCTAATTTATCTTAATGTATTTTCTATTGCTTAGCAGTATTTCTCCTTCAACATCCATGTAGAACACAAAATAACACATGAAGTCAAAATTCACCTTAGAGCATAGCAGAAACCAAACATAATCTTGAAATAGCAAAACAGTAATTCTGTAATAAACTAAACTTAGGTCTCGCCAAAAATTAAACCAGCTACAGAAGTGATCTCTCTTTACTGTTCCGTGGACATCAACAGAATGATTAACATCCTGCAGGCAATAATGTATATTTTTTTTCTTTCTGCCAGCTTCAGTTTTAAAATTGCAGTTTTCTAAGGACACAAGTTATATCACAGGCAAGCTGTATTAGAAGCCAGAATAAACTTGTGACAACTAATTTCTGTCAAACATATATAACCTCACAGCAGTATATATGAAGAGCTGATAGCAATCTTCACACAGATCCTGACAATAGCAGCCCAGCAGAAAAGTTTCCAGTATTTTCTCTTCCAGCAGTCTCTCTAAAATTGTGTATTCAGGATACTATCCACAGAGCAGGAATATTAGGCATAATTTTGACAGACACCCTGTTTTGAATTAATATATGAAATGTATTACAGAAAATAAACTCAACGGCACATTTCTGCTAATATGATTCTTTACATTAGAAGGTATATTTATTGTGTCAAGTACAGCCCAGAAAGTACTACATGGTCTTTTCCCCAAAATGCAACACCTTCAGTAGGAGCTTTGGCCCTTGGAGGACTGTCTGCTAATGTTTTGTAAAAACTGCATGCAAACTAAACTGTGTTGCAATTAACTCTGTAAGTGTACTCTTACATTAAAGGTATTATACATGTGATACACTTAGGAGAGGAGGGAGAATCCTAACGACTCTCTTGTTTACCTTGTCAGTTCTGAAGAGTTCACATAGATTCTTTTGTTTAATATTATTTCACATTCCAAATTGCACTGCCCTGAAGGACATCTGTGTAATAACAAATTATCTATTTTTATCAGGTTACTTATATTGAATTCTTTGCAATTTAATCTAATGAAGACATACGTAGAAACTATTTAGTATATTCATTTTCTTCCTACTCATACTTGGCCTTTCCACTAATTTAATATGTAACTAAGCTAACTTTTGAAACACACTTGTATAATCTTCAGTGTTACATAATTACAGACCTAAAAATTTTTCTTCTGGCACAAGCATCAATACAAAAACTGAATTTGCTTTCACGAGTTATAGGTTACCCATTATGAAATAATTTAGCACTTCCATGAAGGCACAAAAAGATACTCTGAAATCAGCAGCAATTCAGAAGTTACGGTTATGACACTCACTAAGAAATGTTAAGATAGCACATCCTGAAGTCATACCCATTAAACATTTTCAGTCATTTTACTAAATAAAAAGGTATCAGAGAAGCTCCCTGCCCTGTTTCAGAACTAAATCCAGACAAAACAAACATCACTGTGTAAGTCTAGAGACTGAACAACAGGCCTAAGGCCAAGAAATGATCCATTTGGTTGGCAAAAGTAAGCACTGAAATAAGAAACATTTTTACTAAACAGCAGTGTTAAGTGAAAATAATAATATACAGCTGTAATTCTAATATAAGCAAAGAATGCTCACCCTGAGCATCAGTAGTTATGCTTTACAAAGAAAACATAGGTTTGCTTGTTTGCTAAATTTGACTGTACTGAGTTTATCTACTAGGAAGGACTGTCAAACTGAAAAACAAAGGTCAAAAGCTGATCTCATCTTTACTTGTCTAATTCTGATCAAAATCTGGTTCACTAGTCTAAGATGTTGTGGTGGGTTGACCCTGGCTGGACACCAGGTGCCCACCAAAGGCACTCTATCACTCCCTCTCCTCAACTGGACAGGGAGAGAAAATATAATGAAAGGCTCATGGGTCAAGATAAGGACAGGGAGATCACTCACCAATTACCATCATGGGCAAAACAGACTTGGGGAAAATTAATTTAATTTATTACCAATCAAATCAGAGTAGGGTAATGAGAAATAAAAACTAAATCTTAAAACACCTTCCCCCC